AAACCCAAAATAAGAAAGAGAAGAGCTATACATATAAAGCTCTTTACTCTTTAGTTGTTTCTTCCTTCCCCTTTCCCCTACCGAAGCCTTTATCTGTAAAATATAACAATAGGGTGAGATAAACATCTCAGTAATCAATTAATTAACTACTATTAATTAACAAGCACAACCAAAAAAGAGTAAAGTTATTATACTTCAAAAATACTTTTATCATATACAACATATCCTTTATATGAACATAAGTCATTTACCACTATCATGATCATTCTACCATTCGAGTCTCCATATCACCCCAACTGAAACCATAAGCTCTTGGACTAAGTGTACAATCATATTGGTTTGAGCTCACCTTCAGTGGTAAGATCACCAGCCAAAGGTATCCTATCCCACTTTTGAACTATGGTCTCTTGTTATTGCACACAAATCAGGGTATTGTTACTCTAACACCATATTACTGATGTTAAGGAGCATTGTAACCTCCTTCTATATCCTCTAGATATAAGAGAAGATTATGATGTTACCACATCACAAACACCAATCAGTAATCAAATGTTTTATTTTAAAAGCTTAGGCCCAAGACTTGTTTTACAAAACCATTCAATTCACAATACAATTACAGCAAAACACAGTGAAAGAAAATTATACATTTATCTAATGTGTGGAGGAAGTAACCCATGAGCACTCTAGTCTCAATTGCATGAGCTTTTGTCAAAAAATAAAGTTGGGATTTAGTCATAGCATGCAGTACATGCACCACAACAAGTGGCACAGCTACACGCTCAGCCTATTCTGTGTCATACGCCATAGCATGTGTCACCATGCTCTACGGTGTGCCTGTCCGAACTTCTACTATCATTTTGACATCAAAAAAGATGAACTTTTAACGTGCGCCATTTTCACATACGATGTTCAACCAAAGTGATTCAAGTGCTCGCACGTAGCTTATCTCATAAACTAACTAATGAGATAGGTTTGGACATGATCTAACGGTCTGATTAAAATTTAGACACCCGGGTGTAAAAGGTCACTTTTCTTGAAAAATTTGTGCACCTAAGTGCTTAAATTGATCCCTTTCTCTCATTAGACTACACAAGGCCTAGAATTAAGTCCAAATGGACCTAACACACCTAATTTACCACAATATATATCAATCATACACATATATTGAAATTTGACCTTGCTACGACCAATTTTCACATTTTCTAACTTTACACAAACTTGCTAACACTTGGAAAAACTTAGCCCACTTGGCTATTTCTAATCATATTTATATACATTCATGTTCACAATACAATCTTACCCAATCTTAGTCGTAAATTACTCATTTTATCATAATATCTCACTTGGGCTTAAGACTCACTATCAATCACAACAATTTCACCCAAACATGACCAAATCATAGCCTCTAAATTCAAAACACCACAAATATACACAATCGAGCTGCAATTTCACAAATCCATTACTCAAACATAGCCATATGGTCTTTATCATCTCCTCTACTCAGGTGAACTTCTATTGCTATGATCATGCTTTCTAAACCATTTAAGGTTCCTATTTACCATTTTATTCATTTTCTCAAACATAGCATATATATTACATGCCATTTGAAAACACCCATTTCCATGCTTTTATTCAATCTAAAGCTATTTCATGAAATATTCACACAATGCTATAAGTCACGCTTAATCCATAATAAGTTCATGCACTACATAGCATACTAACATATAGTTACAATAAACAGTCAAATAAAAGAAGTTATTCAGTTACCTTAACCCTTCTGTCACCAGAAAGGTTACCCATGGATTTCAATTACCATAACAGCTTATCAGAAGCTTCCTTTCTCTACTCACATGTCTAATATGCCAATTTGAACACATTTGTCATATTTTAGTCATTTTATCCATTTTGACCAAAACCTCATATTTACTACCTAGGGTTATATTGAACCATAAACTCTTTTCTATTCATCCATTCTAGGTCTATTACTACCCAATTACTAGTTTACATCATCTCAATTGATCTTATTTCACTCAAACATAATTTTTGCCCTAAATCTTCTCTCTCTAAGGGCTAAATTGAACCTATAGTTCAAAGCTATATTGTTTAATTTTAAACTAGTTGCAAAGCTCTAATTTAACTTCCAAGAACCTTTTTATTACAATTGAGTAAGAATCAAACCTCTCAAATTCCACCGATTCAATTTTCCTATAACTCATTTTCAGAGAAATTTCTATAGAATGGAAGGTAAGAGTTATACGTAGCTTACCTGATAAGTTATCAATCAGAAGCACCTTCTAATGGCTTAAAATAGCTTACTCTAGCTTCTCAACCCTTCATCTCTCCTTTTCTCATGTGTTTCTCAATTTTTACTTTTGAAAATTACTAGATTTCATGACTTAAGAAGTGATTTCCTGGTCTATGCACCCCGGCGCATGCGACACAAGTCATGGCGCGTGGCACAATGAGATTTATTCTCACCACGTGCACTTGTTTTGACCTAAAACGTGCTCTTCTCACTCGTATCTGCTCATACAAGACCTAACAAGTCAATTCACTAAGTAATCATCTAAATCTCCAATCCTACACTAATTATTACTTTACCTTTAGTTAGCAATGAATCAAATGATTAAGAAATTCAAGATATTACAAGCGTCACTCTCCAACGCAATATCCCATATGGATACTAAGGAGACAATCTCCAACACCATGCCTCACTAGTCACTAAGAAGATACATGCCATATGGAATTCCATTACTACTTCCTATAGGTGAACTCTCACCCCCTAACATGATCATTCGCACATATCTCATACATAATTCATATACATATCTAAATCTCACTACAATCATATAAAAGTTTCATAAACTTTATCGTTTCAAAATCATTTCACATGTACAAAAAATAATTATATTTTGCAATGTGCAATGTTATCAAATCACAAGTAGTATACATACATATCTACTCATAAATAATTAAGCAATATAATTAAATAGTATAAATTATTTTGTTACCTTAATCCTGGTAACAAAAAGGTTACTATGGTTCAATGTTAGCTCTACATATTCTTACTTGCACAATAACACTCGAAGAACCCTTAATCTACACAATTAAGTGATAATTATCAATTATACTTTGATAAAACCTCGAATTCACCAGGTTCCAAGTACCCACAACTCTCAAATTCCTTATTAAACAACATTAGCCCTTCCAAAACACCCTAACAATCCTATTTAACATCCAAACATACTAAAATCATCATCCAACTATCCACATTATTTAAAAACTCTCAAATTATACCTAGGGTTCATTTAAACTCTCAATAAAATTCCAAATCACTATAAAACCCATAAACTTAAGGTTAGAGGTGGATTTAACTTCCCAAGATCTTATCTAAGGCAATGGGTTTGTCTATTAGCCAACCATAACTGAAAATAAGCCCTAAAATGCCCCAAAAGTCAGAAATTTTGTATCAAAAGGGAAGGGAAGGGAGTATAAAACTTACCTAATGATGGTTCAAGCTCTAAATGTCTCTAAATCTCTTTCAATGTCAAGCCCTATTAGCCATAAACTCCTCCTCCATTGCTCCCTTTAATTTCTCTTATCTTACTTCTGATTTTGGGTCTGTTTTTACAAACTGATAAGTGTTGATTCGGCATGTGCACTGTGGTGCATTGACACGTCCATCGTGGCCTATAGAACAAAGAGCCCCACCACAATTTAAACTTCCCTTCATGCTATGGTCTGTTCAAACTTCAACCTAACCTTCTTCTAAGGCTGTTTAAGGATTCAAAAACAATATTAGTCTCCTATAAATGTCCTTAATCAAAAATTCACTTGAAATTACTATTTTATCCTTATAAACACTAAAAATTCCTTAGTTGAAAACTTAGAATATTACAATTCTCCCCTCCTTTTAGAAATTTTATCCTCAAAATTCAAGATCTCACACAATTACATACTAATAAGAATAGATGCAGATATAATTGCCTCATTTTGTTCTTAATCTCCCAAGTTGCATCATCGGGAGTCATACCTTTCCAAAAGACCTTAACAAAATAAATAATCTTATTTTCAATTATTAGTCTTTCATGTCTACAATCTGTAATATCCTCCTCCTTTTATCTTATGATTAAACCTAAATCTCAAGAAATTAGAAAAAATGAGATGATTATAATCATTAAATACAAAATCCTCATTAGTTAACAAAATAGGGACACCATGATTATAAATTTAAGTCAAATTAAGTCTTGTAAAAAGACAAAATAGAGTTTGAAGATATGCGGAAGCAAGGGATTATCACATTACTGGTTACAAAGGTGTAAGAATCTGGACCAAGAAAATTTTGAAAATTTAAAAGGCGTGCGCCGCAGTGCATGTCCATACAAACGACTTATCTTTCTTAGTCAACTTGGTCAAAACAGAGGCTATTTGCAAAAACCCCCGAATGAACCTTTAATAGTAATCGGCTAACCCCAAGAAACTTCTTATCTCTGTTACTGAGGTAGGTCTCTCCTATTTTAGCACTGTATCGACCTTATGAGGATTTATAAATATACCGTCAGCGGATATCACATGATCGAGAAATTTCACTTCCCAAAGCTAGAATTTGTACTTGCTTAATTTCGCATATAATTTGTGTTCCTTCAACACTTGCAACACAATTCTCAAATGCTTAGCATGTTCTTCTTCATCCTTGGAGTAGACCAGGATATCATCAATGAACACAACTATGAATTTATCCAAGTAAGTTCTAAAAATCCTGTTCATATAATCGATGAAGATTGCTGGCATATTCATCAATTCAAAGGAATCACTAAGAATTCATAATGCCCGTATCTCATCCTGAAAGCATTTTTAGTTATGTCCTTGGACTTTACCCTCAGTTAATGGTAACCAAATCTCAAGTCGATCTTGGAAAACATAGTTGCTCTGACAAGCTGGTCAAACAAATCATCTATCTGAGGTAGTGGGTATTTATTCTTGATTGTTACCTTATTCAACTATCGGTAGTCAATACACAACCTTAAGTTTCTGTCCTTTTTCTTCACAAATAATACAAGCGAAACCCAGGGGGATACACTTATCCTAATGAATCCTTTCTCCAGCAATTCCTTCAATTTCTTCTTCAATTCTTCTAATTCTAAAGGAGCCATATGGTATGGAGCCTTAGAGATGGGTTCAATTCCTGGTACTAGGTCAATCGAGAATTTGATCTCCCTTTCCGGTGGTAAGCCAGACATCTCATTAGCAAACACTTCTAGAAATTCACTAACAACTTCTATCTCATTAAAAGTACCATCATACTCTCTAAAGGTTGAAAAGAATACTAAGAACATCTAACACCCTTCATGGTCCGACCTCTTAATTTGTGTGGCAGACAAAAATGTGGGTATCTCAGGATTCACTATGAAGGTAGTATCCTCAAAGACTGCAAGAGTTGCATTACACACTAGTAGAGAAATTGTCTTCTTTTCACAGTCTAGTATCGCTCTGTTAGTCGACAACCAATCCATCCCACCAATCACATCAATCCTCAATATGGGCAAACAAACCAAATCAATTAGTATAATTCTATTACCAAATCTCATCTCAACTTTTAAATAGGCATGGTTGGTTTTCACAGAAGCTCCAACCGGCATAGAAACATTCATCAACACAGGCAATTCAATCACAAGCAACTTTAACTTTTCTACGCACTCATTTGAAATAAAAGAGTGAGTAGCAACCGAATCAAATAAAGCAAAAATCTCAATATCACAGAGATAAATAGTACCTCTAATAAGCTTCGGAGAAGCTTCAGCTTCTTCTTTAGACAAGGCAAGGACTCGACCAGGAATAGTCGACCTCTGGTCATATGCACTAGCATGCTCAGTGCAGTAACGCGTTATGTGGCCTACCTTATTAATTTGAAGCATGTCTAGCACTCCCCCTTGTGATACTTCCCACACTTGTTGCATTGTGGAGCTCTTACAAGTCCAGTAATAGTAGGGGTAGAGTCTTGTCTTGAAGTCTGGTTCCAACCTCCCATACCTCTGGGTGAGTTGTTCTTGGACTGGGATCCCTTAGATTGAGACCCCTTTTGAAAACGATTCCTAGCGCCCCCGACACTAAGCCCTCGGAACGATCCCAAACCAAAACTAGTCTTCTTGCTCATACTACTAGTAGGACCTATAAAAGAAGAAAAACAACCCTGACCAGCTCTCTTCTTATCATCTACTGATTTGCTTCTTCTAGTAATGGCCCGAAACTTATTGCATATCACTTTAAATGAAGTGATCTCAAAGGCTGCCAGTTGCCTACTATACTCAGGCTGCATCTTGTCTAAGAATTGCTCGGCCTTCCACTCCTTATCATCATGGTATCTCAAATAGGTTGAATACTTTGACAATTCATTAAACTTAGCAATAAACTCCTCCTTGTTCATGTTACCTTGTTATAGGCGATGAAACTCAGATTCCTTCTCTGCTCGGAAGGTAGATGGGAAATAATGAGTGAAAAATCTCCTCTTGAATTCCTTCCATATAAGTAAGGAGCCATTAGTTGGCCTTGCACTCTCCTATCATTATTTGGCGGCATCCTCTAGCATGAAAATAGCTAAGAGTACCCACTACTCTGTGGTACAGGTCATCACCGAGAATATGGTCTCCAACCGGTCTATCTACTTCTCACCGGCTCTATCCTCCATAGAATCGTTAAAGTGAAGAGGATTTAACCTCGTGAATCTCTTGAGTATGTAGTCAATAAAACCCTCATGTTCCTTCTCAATCAGCCTTATAGAACACATTGCCCTCTTTGGTGCACTCTCCTCATAGTACTCTTCATCTTCATGCCCTTGTACCTCTTCTACCATCTCAACTCTTTTCTTCTTTCTAGGGTTACCCCTTGTTTTATCAACCGTGCCACTACACCCTTCTTCAAGCTTCTTCTCAAGAATCTTATCATGATCATCCAATCTCTTATTAATTCTCTCCATCATTGTTCTTAACTCGACCAACACATTATCCCCACTCGTGGAGTGTATGTTCTTGGTTTCATCCCATTTTGACTTTTTCTTCTTCAATTGGGACTACTTCATTCTCTACTTCTACCGAGACTTCTTGCTCTTATCTCAATAGATTTATCGAAACATTTTTGGCTGTGTGTCTTGTTTGTACCATTCTCCCCTCCTAAGGATGAAAGTTATCCTACAAAAGAAAAGGATCAGTACTAGCTTAAGAGAGGAAAAACAATATGTGTATAATGACAATTGCCAACTCTAAATGCAAATGCACAATTAAGCATAATTACGCAACATAATCCACAAACCAGTACTCATAACTAGAGAAACTAATACCAAGTTGTAATATCCGCCTCCTTTTATCTCATTATTAAATCGAAATCTCAAGAAATCAGGAAAAATGGGATGATAATAATCATTAAATAAAAAATCCTTATTGGTTAACAAAATGGGGACCCCAGGATTATAAATCTAAGTCAAATCAAGTCTTGTAAAAAGACAAAATAGAGTTTGAAAATATGTGGAAGCAAGGGATTATCACATTACTAGTTACAAAGGTGAAGAATCTTGAAGAAGAAAATTTTGAAAATTTAAAAGGCGTGTGCTGTGACTTATTGAACATGCTTCGTGGTGTGTTTGCCTTTGTTACACGTGCCATGGCATGTGATGCCATGCATCGTGGTGCAAATGCATGAACTTTGATAGTGCATTCTGCTGTCAATTTGACAGCTTTAAGGTTAACTTTTGACGTACCCCAATTCTTCGTCCGACATTCGGATGATGCAAACTAGGAGTCTACGGATAGCTCTTTCCAGGCTCTAACCAATAGTACAGGCTCAAATTATTTTTAAAACAAGAATTGAACACCCTTTTTAAAACTTACTCCTTTACCTTAACTTTCATAAAATTCAAGTGTCCTATCCCAAAATTAAGGACCAATGGCCATCGACGCTAAATGACTACATTCAACACAACAAAGTTAATTCACGGAAAGCACCAAAACAAAAGAAATATGTTTAGATCAAATTTTCACTACTCGACCCCTTAACTCAAAATCATAGGAAAGGGAGTTTACCACAATTTTCATTAAGGTTTTCCAAATCATCACAATATATACGCTACCCTCACTTGCATTAGTATTTTGGCCTTATTAACATAACACATAATAATCAACTTTCTCACTAGGGCCCAAAATACCAATCACAATTTACTTTTCTCTTAATGCAAGTAAGTAACAAAAAGAAAAATCCTAGTTGGCAATTGAAATTACCATACACACAGATTACTCAAATTTAAGAGGCCTACTACAAATGGATTGCAATCCTAAGTCTCGAGTTGTTTTTCTCTATCCATACTTCTTGAGCTATTTCATGAAATATTAAAGATAAAGGGGTGAGTACAACTACTCAGCAACCAAGATCTGACTAACTCATACTAATGCATAACGACTAGTTTAAATGCAAGTGGCAATTAATATTAATACTCTAGACCATGAGAGATATTTAAAAAACTTGATAGCCACATTTTAGCTCACATAATAGCAACTACTAGGGAAATATCACTTTTAGCACTTTTTATAGAGATAGAGTTGATCAAGCAATTTATTGGCAAGCAAAAAAAAAGTAAAAATAATGCTCAACTCTAAATGCCATCATTATGGACTCTATATAGACAATAAGTGTCTTTACTCACTATATGCATGATCACACCTCCCTTATCACCTCCTTATTTCTTTGACACGAAACCGTGGGTTATAACTCAATAGGATAGTCTATATTATTTGACTTCCCTAGCCTAAACACTTGTGAGGGGATTACTCAACCAAGGCATACCCAACTCACTTATGGATCACGGTTTCCTCCATTTCTCACACTATGGGGTTTCATATACCTTAGACTAGCTTCCTCATTGAACCAGTAGATAGCTAGCTAGTTCGAGTCCCTTATTGAACCAGTAGGACAGTCCCTCATTGAACCAGTGGGACAGTAAGGATAAAATTAAACTAGGCAATCCACCACATGGATGGGGCCTTACCATATGGATTTCTCATCCACTCCACTTCCTAGGCGAACTCCCGCCTCTCAAGATCATGCAATGGACATTCATGCCATAACTCACACATATACAGTTCATAGAACATCACATTACACAATCATTAGACTTTTCACACATGTTTCATGGAACTTTTAAACCCAACAAGTCATTGAACTCCCAAATCACAATTATTATACCTCACATTTAAAATCATTGAACTTCATCATTACACAATCATTAAACTTCTCAATAAACATTAATACAAAAATCCACCACTCTTGTTTTCAAGGAAAAATTTACATCATAAGGCATAAAGCTCCTAAATTTAATCTAGTGGATTTCTTCACAAATTAAGCCACACTTGCATTTTCTCTAGTTTGTACATTTCAATTTTATTTCATAAATCAATAAACTAATAGACAAATAAGTATAAGATAAAATTCCCCTGGTTACCTCAAACCTTTGAGAGGTCAAAGGTTTCACCCCTCAACTATTCGCTCCTGAAGCTTCCAAGAAGCTTGAATGGTGCCAATGGTAATTACATTACAAGCATTTACCATGCAAAATATCAATATCTATTTTAAGCTATTTTTTTCTAGCATTCTCATAATTTCTTAATACTCAAGCTTTATTCTAAACTCATGTAGAAGTACCTATAAGGTTTCTTAGCTTTTTTTAACTCTCATTCATAACATTAAGCTCTTAAATGGGCATTAGTGAAGCCACATTATTCCTAACTACCAAATTTATAGGAATTTCGGACATTTAATGTCCTCCAACCACCAATCATCATAAAATTATAATTATCAAGTTTACTTAGCTTAATCTACCCCTATTAACTCTATTTAAGTCAATGGGTTCGGACCCATAACCTCTATGGACCAAAAATCACCATTAAAAATCAAACCCTAACTTCTACCATCAAGAAAATGGAAGAAGAGAGGAAGATTTAAGCTAGGAGGCTTACCTTAGGTGTTTACGAGCTCCAAATTACTTCAAACAATCAGCTTCTTTAAACCCTAGCTTAGCTTTTTTCACCACTCCTTCGTTCTCTTTTATTTTCTCTTCTTCTTCACATCAGGTTCGTGACTTAATACTACAAAATTCTAGCCATGCTATGGTGGACGCACAATGCACCACGGTGCATGGAACAGAGAGCTTCTCCTAAGTGTGTTAGCATGCATGCGCTATGGCGGACCAACCCCACGCTGTGGCATATGGTATAGAACTACTCCCTTTAGAAATTCTTCCTTTTCTATCCCCGGGTGACCTGATTCTCCTTTAAACCCATGTTTGATACTAAAATGGAGATCAAACACACCCGTTAGGCCTCTCTAGCCACACACCTCAAAGATCTACTTTACTAACCTTTTTAAGTTTAGTTAATCTGGGTTTAAAATTGAGGATGTTACACAATCTACTCTAGTTCAGCTCAATAAGTTAGATTTTCTTATAGTTCTACCTCTTTTGACTTAATAATATGAGAAGGATTCAAGTGATATTTCTTCGATTGAATTACATAGAAAACATTGTGAACACTTAATAAACTTAATGGTAAAGTAATCTGATAGGCTGTAGGTCCCAACTTCTCTAAAATCTTAAAGGGACTAATAAATCTAGAAGTCAATTTCTTAGCCTTTATTGATCTCTCAATGCCAGTCATCGGCGTGACCCTTAAAACACATGATCACTAACTAGAAATTCCAACGATCTTCTACGCCAGTTTGAGGGCTTTTTTGCTAATCTGGGCTGTCAACAATTTTTGCTTAATTAATTGAATTTTCTGAGTAGTTTAGTCTACCAAATTTAGACCCAATAAACTTCTCTAGCTGAATCAGTCTAACACAAGGGCTATCAACATTTTCTTCCATATAATGCCTCATA